ATGTGATGAGTTAGTCCAGACGGCGTTCCGACAGGACAGGCACATCAGGATAGTTATAGCAAATAGGGATGCTTAGAGTAGCTAAGCGATCCAAGGATTTCACATGTAGAGGGTCACGTGATATATACAGGGCGACAAAGTCGTTGTCGACTTTGTGACTTAAGGAGAACGAAGGATCTATATAAGACTGGCACGTCTACCATTAGATAGGAGCTTCGTGCTCAACTTAGTTATCAATCTTATCATATTAGTTTGACATCTTTGATACAAGTAACGAGTTCACTTCCAAGTGAACAACCCGATAGTCTTCTTCTTATCATAGCATACCAACCAGCGAACACCCAGCCAAGTTTAGTTAGCCAGTTTGAGTATTCGTTACATCTAGCCCTTTATTAGTTTTTAAGCCTTTTCTCATAATTCTTATCTACTCTTGTTATTTAAGTCTATATAATTAATATTATTTCTCTTTTATAAATACTTCTTCGAGATAACTACTTTCTCTTATAATCCTTTTTAAGGCTAGCTTATAAATTCCTATAATCTACTACCATAAGATAAGACTTATAAATAGTAACTTTAGTATCTTTAAGCGTAGATTTATATAGTTTAATAAAAGAGTCGGAAAATATAGTAGGATCCTAAGATATAAGATAGTATATATTTGTAGTAGTATAAGATAATTCGTATAAACGTAAAGTAAGTAGGATTTAGTCTTTATTATTACTGTGACGGTGTGACGGTTATGGTCACGAGGGCTGGATGCCACATGCTCGCTTAGCGAGGCGCTAGCGCGCACGACCTGTATTTAGTTCCCAGCTCTCTCGAGCTCTCCTTCTTTCCTCGTCTTTTGTCCTAAGAATAGAGTGTTAATTGTTCTGAGTTCTACCTGAAGCACGTCTGTCACAGACGGAGCTGGATTTCATTTGACAGGATTTCTTTCGCTTGGCCAAGCACGTGACGAGACTTGGCATTGGAACAACTTAAATAACTTCGCTCCTTTCAGATTCTCTTCTCTCTTTAGTTTGATTTCTTCGTACCTACGTGTAACGAATACTCAAACTGGCTAACTAAACTTGGCTGGGTGTTCGCTGGTTGGTATGCTATGATAAGAAGAAGACTATCGGGTTGTTCACTTGGAAGTGAACTCGTTACTTGTATCAAAGATGTCAAACTGATATGATAAGATTGATAACTAAGTTGAGCACGAAGCTCCTATCTAAAGGCAGAAGTGCCAGTCTTATATAGAACCTTCGTTCTCGTGGAGCCTACGGGGAGCCCAAGATCCTCAAGCTCCAACGCAAG